TGCAAATTTCTTATCATAAGGATGATAACTCACTACGGATGGTCCTGCAAATTTCTTATCATAAGGATGATCACTCACTACGGATGATCCTGCAAATTTCTTATCATAAGGATGACAACTCACTACGGATGATCCTGCAAATTTCTTATCATAAGGATGATCACTCACTACGGATGATCCTGCAAATTTCTTATCATAAGGATGATAACTCACTACGGATGATCCTGCAAATTTCTTATCATAAGGATGATAACTCACTACGGATAGGGGTACTTGGAGGGAACAAGTAGGATGTCAGCTGAAGAGTTGTGAGTACTTGAAACGCATTCTGAATTGAATGTACACTCGAGACCATGTTCAAAACATCCATTTTCAATGTGTTATCCTGAAAAAAAAATATTTTTACTACTTAAAAGGCGTGGCTCAGTGATTTAACAAGCAAACTTAAAGATATAGGATCATAATATTAAAATGAGCAATGAAACATAAAAAAATACTTAAAAGAAGGTATTTTTTTATGTTTAATTGCTCATCTTAAACTTATTATTGTCGGTTGGACTCCATTTTCCGCAATTGGCCTCTCATTCGGGCCGTTGTGCGTGTAGAGCCAGGCTACTGAAGTAGCCAGCCAAGCTCCTCCCAGAAGCACAGAAGTCTCCTGGTGTCTTCGCAGACTTCTCGGAGCGACCTCACCGTTCCGAGGATTTGATTGCGTTGTGTGGTCACTGCTTCGCACTCCAGGATTACGTGAGCGGCCGTTTCCTCGGCTACAAAGCAGCCCCGGCATAGGGGACTGTCTGTAGCACCTATTGTGTACAAATGTCTGTTTAAGGGACAGTGGCCCGTCATTGTCCCTATCATTGTTTTTATGTTAGCTTATTATTAATTAATTAATATTATAATCGCGAAAGTTTGTGAGTATGGATGGATGTTTGTTACTCTATAATACAAAAACGGATTTTGATGAAATTTTACAATAATGTAGCTTATACATCAGAATAACATATAGACTATAAATTTCATGCGAGTGAAACCGCAGACAAACACTCTCCTATATTCAGATAAAGTTAATAGCTCTTTGTGGAAATATGTATTAAATTATACAATATTTTAGCAAAAGATATCAAAGATCTATCGTTTAAATTTAAAAAATATTGTATTAATATAGGATCTCGTTTGCATGAAAAAAATGCAATAAAAAATACATAATATAGCCTATTTATTACTCTATAAACTATTATTTGTCAGACGACTTTGTATAACGTTACAGAGATTTCATATATAAAATACAAAACAAGAGATTTTATTATTATTATTATTAAATATAATAATAATAACCCTGCACTATTCACACAACGCCGTCTAGTCCCAAGCTAAGCAGAGCTTGTGTTATGAGTACTAGACAACTGATATAAATACATGGATGCATTTTTTTTGTAAATAAATACATATTATACATAGAAAACACCCAGACCGATACAAACAATCATACTCATGAATACAAATACTTGTTCCGTGCGAGGAATCGAACCCACGACCATCGGATAGTAAAGCAGTGTGGTAAACCACTAGACCAGTGAGGCTGTCAAATTAAATCTCTATATATGTATTAAATTTAGATAAAGGATAAATACTCTTATATACATATATAAAGTTTATGGATCTGAGAATGTGCATTAAATTATACAATATGAAACCAAAGATAATAATGACATATTGTATTACACATACACATATTTGTATTAATGTTTTATTAAAAAAAAAATATATCCTATTTATTACATATATCTAAACGAATATTTGTCAGACAACATTGTGAGAATTTATATTTTAACTATAAAATTTCTATATATATATATATAAATAAATATAATTAATAATTATTATCAATTATATACACTAACCTTCCGCTTGTAGAGTTACACCATCGAATAATTTTTACATATATATTCACCATTAATTATTATCTGTAGACAATTATAATTTCTTACCACACTTTCACTTCTGTATAGATATCGTCGCGTAGTGACGGCAAACCAATAGTAACGTTTTAATGACATTACAGTTTCGTACAATGTTTGCATAATCTGTAAATACCACACATATTTAAACACTAGCTGATTCGGTAAATGTTGTTTTACCATATAATAATAATAATAATAGTAAGTTTATTTTGCAAAAAGAAAATACAAAATGGACTTAACTAAGGTTATATATCTATATGACAAACGAGAATGATGCTCACCTGATGGTAAGTGATTACCGCCGCCCATGAGCACCCGCAACACCAGGGGAATTGCAAGTGCGTTGTCGGCCTTTTAAAAAGGAATAAGCTCTTTTCTTGAAGGTTTCAATATCGTATCGGTTCGGAAATACCATTGCTGGAAGGTGATTCCACAATGTGGTTGTGCGTGGCAAAACGTTTCTAGAAAACCGCACTGTGGAAGACCGCCATTCATCCAAATGATCAGGATGATATTTCTGACCTACTTTATATATATATACCTACTTTACATAACGCTGTACACGCGTGAAAAATCAGTATATAAATAAGATAACTTATCTCATTTATAAATAACTACTGTTGAGATGGGAGATCATATCGCTAAATAAACCTGGGATGAATGTTTTTCTTTATAACACCTTAACAAACGAGATTGCGGCTCACCTGATGGCAAGTGATTATGGCCGCCCATGGGCGGTGTACCACCGTACCACTCGCCAGAAACTAAAATACCATCCTGATCATCTGGATGAATGGCGGTCTTCCACAGTGCGGTTTTCTAGAAACTTTTTGCCACGCACAACCACATTGTGGAATCACCTTCCAGCAATGGTATTTCCGAACCGATACGATATTGAAACCTTCAAGAAAAGAACTTATTCCTTTTTAAAAGGCCGACAACGTACTTGCAATTCCCCTGGTGTTGCGGGTGCTCATTGGCGGCGGTAATCACGTACCATCAGGTGAGCTGCATGCTCGTTTGTCCCAAAAAAAAAATGGGCATTAGGTAGTGTTTGCGATCGCAAACAGCCTTTTAATATATTTAAGAATAAAATTTTAAAATTTCAAAATTGGAACGTCAGGTACAGAACTTTGATGTTATTTTATATACAATTTTGCACTCATTCTCGAACATTCCGTGACGTCATTATTAAAATCTGTGTACAATATATTCAAAATATCTTTTTATTTCAATTTAAAACAAATTGAAACCACTGCAATATGCCTCCAGCAAACAGATAGTGTAGAGTTTACAATATGAAAACACTTGAAATATCTCTTGGATCGTGATGTCAATAGAAATAGACAAGCCTTCTGTTCAATCAAGTTCAATGATTATCAAAAACTCTTTGTACAGTCTATTAAATAACATTATCACATTTTAGTTCCAAATCGGAGGAAATAAAATACATGCAGGTACCGTTTCTTTCTTTTACAAAGTTAATTTGTCTCGTGGTCAATCCTTTTTGTGCTCTAGCTACTGAAAGTACCGAGCGTAAAATGCGGTTAATTAACCGTTAATAACGAAAAATGCATTTATAACCGCTTGGTTTAAATCGTTAATAACCGGCTAGGACTGGAATTACAATTTTGCATTTCTGCTTTAACCTCAATCGGCGGCTGGTCAAAGTTAAGTAGAGCTTGTGTTATGACAAATTATATATATGTTTATATAATATGTATTTTTTGTATATATATAATACTAGCTGGCTTCGCTAGCGTTAATTTATCCCCTTAGGGGTGGATCAAAATTCTTTCTTAGGGGATGCCTACGTCATACTAGCTTTATGCATGCAAAGTCTCAGCCGGATCGGTTTAAAATTGACAAAGTTTCATAGAAACTTTCATCCCTTATATTATCCCCTTGACGGTAGAATTCATGAAAATCCTTTCTTAGCGGATGCTTACGTCATAACATCTACCTGCATGCCAAATTTCAGCCCGATCCGTCCAGTGGTTTGGGCTGTGCGTTGATAGATCACTACGTCAGTCACCTTTGAGTTATATATATTTAGATACATAGAAAACTCCCAGACCAGAACAAACAATCGAATACGACCCGCGCCCATCGGATGTAAAGCATATTTATTTATACAGAATTTGCATTATATTTGGATTTTAAAATAAAGTATGCATCTTCTTTTAAATGATTAATGACTTCCAATGTCAATAATAATAAAATAATTTTAACAATCGTCAGTTGAGTAAAGATTAACAATTTCAATAATAATAAAATAATTTTAACAATTGTCAGTTGAGTAAAGATTAACAATTTCAATAATAATAAAATAATTTTAACAATTGTCAGTTGAGTAAAGATTAACAATTTCAATAATAATAAAATAATTTTAACAATTGTTATTTGAGTTACGATTAACAATGTCAATAATAATAAAATAATTTTAACAATTGTTATTTGAGTTACGATTAACAATTTCAATAATAATAAAATAATTTTAACAATTGTTATTTGAGTTACGATTAACAATTTCAATTATAATAAAATAATTTTAACAATTGTTACTTGAGTTACGATTAACAATGTCAATAATAATAAAATAATTTTAACAATTGTCAGTTGAGTAACGATTACCAATTTCAATTATAATAAAATAATTTTAACAATTGTTATTTGAGTTAAGATTAACTATGTCAATAATAATAGAATAATTTTAACAATTGTTATTTGAGTTACGATTAACAATGTCAATAATAATAAAATTATTTTAACAATCGTCAGTTAAGTATCAATAATCTGTTTATCTGTTTGTTTCGGCTGATCTCTGAAATGGCTGTATCGATTTTGATGGCATTTTTATTTAGCTGATGTAATAAGGAGTAACTTAGACTACTTTTACTTTAGAAATATTCTTTTATTTAAAAAAAAAATAAAGTTAAATTCGAAGCTGACAAACTCGCGGGTACAGCTAGTAATAAAATAATTTTAACAATCGTCAACTGAGTGCAGACATTGTTCGAACAAAAGTGACTTTTTTGGATAATACAAATTAATTTTTTTTTATGATTTTAGCACTTTATCGATTTATATGTAATCCAAGTCGTTGTCGAAGAGTAGGCTGTCTGGACTTTTCTCGCAGATAAAAGCGAACGGAACCGCGGCACACCACACGTCGTTCAGCAGGCCAGTCCTCACGATGGCCCCGCACTGCTGCCCCAAGTTGTCCAGTGTCGCATTATCTGGGGCACCATTACTCCAGCTTGAGTAACCTGCTTCTTGTAATGTCTCGCCTGCAAAGGGATATGAGGTTATATATTACTGACGCCAACAACATACTACGCAGCATAATCTCATGATATATAATATGAAATTTGTTACACAGATAGTCTAGATCCTGAAAAAGGACATAGGCTACTTTTTAGTGCGAAAAAGGTTTAATAATAATAATAATAATCATGTCTATTACCGCATCAAAGGGAGAGAGATATATATATATAAAGAAATAATAATAATAATCTCAGCACAATTCACACAGCGCCATCTAGACCCAAGTTAAGCTAACTAAAGCTTGTATTATGGGTACTAAACAATTGATACAAATACATAGATTTTTTTTTCGTAAGTACGTACATATTATACATACACCCAGACCGATACAAACAATCATACTCATGAATACAAATGTTTGTGCCGTGCGAGGAATCGAACCCGGGACCATCGGACGTAAAGCGGTGTGCTAGACCGCTAGACCACAGAGGTCGTCATTGTCTTGATAGAATAGAATAGAAATAATCTTTATTCAAATAAACTTAATATAAGCACTTTTTAATAGTCAAGTTTTTTTATTCTACCGCTTATTCGGAATGCAGATTCATCACAAGAAGAATAAGCAAGAAACTTGTGTGTTGCTCTTAAAACTTGTAAGCGGAGATGAAAGGTACTAAAATATCATCATTTTTTAAGTAGAACGATGAAATTTTTTTTGGATTGTAATCTTACTAAATATATTTTCTTTATTTGATCAAGGTCACTATTCCACGCGGACGGAGTCACGGGCTGAGCTAGTATATAGCGTAAAATGTCATAAATAGCCTTTAGAATAAATAAAAATGTTATCTATCTACATATATAGAATAGAATAGAAAATAATTAATTCAAATAAACTTACTTTAAAACACTTTTGAATAGTCATCACAAGAAGAACGAGCAAGAAACTTGCGTGTTGCTCTTTTAAATAATTTTATTATTACTTTACATTTTTAAATTGAAGTGTATGAATATAAACTACCGATTAGAACTAATTCAATATGTATATATGTTATATTTATATACTAGCTACTTGCCCAGGCTTCGCACGGGTGTACATGTATTATATATATCATATAAACCTTCCTCTAGAATCACACTATCTATTAGAAAAAACCGCTTCAAAATCCGTTGTATAGTTTTAAAGATTTAAGGGACGGACAGACAGCGACAGCGACTTTGTTTTGTGATTATCATTCAATTATTGATAAATACCCCACAATACTTATTGTTAACTATCTGCACCCTCGACTTCGTCCGCGTGGAATTTATCTTAATTTTTCTAAATAAAAGTACCCTATATACTCCTTATTACATCAGCTACCTGTCGCAAAAAGTTCCGTCAAAATCTGTCCAGCCATTTCAGAGATTAGCCGGAGCAAACAGACAGACAGACAAAAATTGTAAAAAATGTAATTTTGGTGTATGTACCGTATTTATATTCATATGCATGTAGTAAAAAACGGTCATTGCAATATTACAAACAGACACTCCAATTTTATTTATATGTGTAGATTACCATGTATAGTCAGCCAAACACTGTCTTGGGTCCAGTCCAGAAAACCGATCATCGCAGAATCTTTGAATCTGCAGTTTATTGTGTTTGATGGATACTTAGCGTATAGCTCTTTGAGTGCTTCAGCTTCAATAGCGCTGTTGATGATGGCCAGGTGTCCACCTTCACCAGCACACGTCATGTATGCTTTATGCCATGTGAGGCATGTGTTGTGAAATTTGTAACAGCTCCCGGTTCTGGGCTCCAGGTGGTAATCTATTAAACAGATATTTGGATATATAATAGAAAGTCATATAATTGCTCTATACTCGTATGTACAAATTAGATAATGACACTGTAATATTATATATTTAGGCAGGAGCACCTGGATACCAGCTCGGTCCTTTTGATTCAGTTCAGAGACGTGCATGAGAATTGTCGATGATCCCAATCTCTATAACGGTATCGAGCCACTTAGCTTGAGGCGAGACTTCGATTCGCTTTGTGTGTTCTACCGTATATACAACGGACTGTGTTCTGATGAATTGTTCGACATGATGCCTACAGCTACCTTTTACCATCGCACCGGTCGCCATCGACATGGAATTCATCCCCACACGCTGGAACCTAAGTGGTCCCGAACAGTGCAGTTTCAGAGGAGCTTCCTCCCGCGTACACTTAGATTGTGGAATGAATTTCCTGCAGAGGTTTTCTCGAGAGACTACAGCATTTTTCAAGATGGGTATATTAAGGTTTCTTAAGGATCGGCAACGCGCACGTGACACCCCTGGTGCTTCAGTACTGTACTGTAACCGTTTACCATCAGTTGGGCGGTATGCTTGTTTGCCACCTACGTGGTATAAAAAAAAGACCATTGTCTCTGGCCGTCCTAATTTCTGGCCGGTTGATTACACGGGGAGGGAGTGAAACCCACACCAATTAGTAGTTTTCAATTAGTCCCTTTATTCTATATCATGTTAGAACTCGTAAACAAATTTGTGTTTTTTTTGTCCATTGTTGCAATCTTTTAATCTAATAATTATATATTGCGTTCCTCAAAATACTCACTACTATCGTAAGTGCCACATCCTGTCAGTACATTTTTAGTTTTCTTCTTATAGCATATATATGGGTACACATCAGAAGTGTTAATGACTGCCATGTCTCCATTTGGTAGAAGGAGTAGGCAACTTTCATTATCCTCATTATAATGTGGCTCATCAGGTGCCCAGCGCACCGGAATCCTGCTGAGTGGTATTCCTGAAGTGAAATAAAAAACATTAATCACATTTCTTTTATCAAATTAGACGTTACTTTTATTTATTCTTTAATGCACTTTTAAATACATACAGTACGGTAAAGTGTTAATAAAATCCGTTTAGTAGTCTTTGCGTGAAAGAGTAACAAACATCCATCTATACTCACAAACTTTCGCGTTATACTAGCTGTGGCCGCGGTTACATCCGAAAAAAAATTCAATAAATCATATAGCCTATATGTTATTCTGATGCATAAAGTATATTACTGTAAAGTTTCATCACAATCCGTTCAGTAGTTTTTGCGTGACAAAGTAATAAACATCCATACTTAGAAACTTTCGCGTTTATAATATTAGTAAGAAGTAAAATGATATAATACAGTCAAAATACACAAAAAATATATAACTCAGCCCAAATTCATATAGAGCTGAAAATTGGTAAATAAACCATTACAAATGAAATGTCAAAAATACCGTTCGATCTTACTTCTGCTAAAAACAATTATCATGCCCAATTTACATTCAGCCCGAGTGGGCAGGGAAGTGAGCAGCGCGAGAGTGTAAACACGAGTGGAAACACTTCCTATGCCATTGGCGCTGCCACTCGCGCTGCCCGGCGCTCCATCGATTATCGGTTTTTCGTGCGCGAGTCAAAGGACTGGCAGCGCGAGTGGCAGCGTGTTTTTACATTCAGCTTTCTCGCTCAGTTGTCGCCCGGCAATATTTCCCGCAGCGGGAGTGGCAGGGGAAGCGGCTGAATGTAAACGTAGCATCAATTTAAAAAATCAGGTTTTTCCCATTTTTCTCTGAGGCTGAAAATATTATCATTATACCTTCTAGCGATGAATAAACGCCTTCATAGAATATCGCATGAATTCCGCTGAATACTCCACATTTCGTAGTACTTATGTTGGTTGACATCATAGTGGTCATAGCGTGCAGAAATGATGCATTGAGAGGTGAAGCCAAGACAGCGCCTGTTCAAAAATACATATATATTTATTTATGTGTCCCTCCGATAGATCCCCCGTCTAATTCAAACGGGGATCGATATTACGACGGCCTGAGCCGAGGTCCGAACCCCAAGTGGTGCCCTCAGACTAAAGTCGCATCCGTCAGGCAGGAGTTGGCCTTCAGCCGCTCCATAAGTCCTTCCGCGGGTTTGGAGTGCCATCTCTCGCGCTCTATCGTCCGGTGAAGCTGTAAAGGCCAGCTGCGGCCAACAGCATTAGAGTAGTCCGAAAAAAAAAAACTAAATGAGCGTTACAGTCTCTCAATATACCCATTTAGGAAGATTGTATACAAATAAACACAATTATAAATACTAATTACATAAGGAGACAAGTGAAAAATAATACTTAATCTCAATTTTACATACTATATAAATAATCTACTGCCATCCTACGAAACTCCAGCATTGTAAGTAGCTTTGACATAGTCTACTGTTTTGAGTAGTCATGCTCACTAAAATGTCCAGACTTGTGGCGGCGTGGTGGGCCGGGTCATTGGGCTCCCTAAAATATGGTCGAGCGCAGTGATGGCTGGCTCATCCGTCATACTCGTGAACGGGTGCTGCTTGTAGGGACTGGTCTGCTCTAATCACTATGACTGATTTCCTCTTATTAATTGTTTAACCAGTGGGTTATATATTCAATATTTTTTTTTCTATTTGAGTATTTAATAGAATTAGTGCTAATTGGTGGTTTGTATTCACACACTTAAACTTAAAAATGTAAAGTAATAATAAAATTATTTAAAAGAGCAACACGCAAGTTTCTTGCTCGTTCTTCTTGTGATGAGACAGCTTTCCGAACGAGCGGTAGATTAAAAAATGTAATGACTATTCAAAAGTGCTTCAATGTAAGTTTATTTGAATAAATGATTTTCTATTCTATTCTATTCTATTCCAGCAAATTACAAGAAAATATGTCTATATCTGGAAAACGACTAACAATGTAGGTTAAAATTTAAAACAACTGTTAAAATTAACAACTAGCTGTGCCCGCGGTTTCACCCTTTGAAATTTATAGCCTATATGTTATTCTGATGTAGAAGCTATTACTTGACGACCTCGGTGGTCTAGCGGTCTAGCACACCGCTTTACGTCCGATGGTCGCGGGTTCGATTCCTCGCTCGGCACAAACATTTGTATTTATAAGTATGATTGTTTGTCTCGGTCTGGGTGTCTTATATGTATAATATGTATGTATTTACGAAAAAAAAATCCTATTGTATCAGTTATCTAGTACCCATAACACAAGCTTTAGCTAGCTTAACTTGGGTCTATATGGCGCTGTGTGAATTGTCCTAAGATTGTTGTTTGTTATTATTATTACTGTAAAGTTTCATCAAAATCCGTTCAGTAGTTTCTGTCTGAAAGAATAAGAAATGATGATGATGAAAGCAATTTTTAATACAAATATTACTAATATTATTATGGTCTGTAAAGCGGCGGGGAAGGGAATTGTTAGTAATGTGAACTGAGAATTCCATTGCTAGCAATGAGGTCCTCAGACTTGTGGGTTGACCTTCAAGCGGTTCTCCTAAAAACTACCATGACAAATTCCTGGGCTAAATAACCTGACCTGACCATTCATCTTATCATCATCCACTGGTACCTGCCAGCGTAATCCGTGACTACGGAGACACTATTCGTGTATCATCCATTAAAAAAATTGCTAGCAATGGGGTCCCCAGTCTTGAACCTTGTCGATTGGCCTCCAAGCGGAAGACCTCCTCCCCTAAAAACTACCATGACAAATTCCTGGGCTAACTAACCTGACCTGACCTTATCATCCTCCACTGGTACCTGCCAGCGTAATCTATGACTGCGGGGACACTATTCGTGTATCATCCATTAAAAAAATTGCTAGCAATTGGGTCCTCAGTTTTGAACCTTGTCGATTGGCCTCCAAGCGGAAGACCTCGTCCCCTAAAAACTACCATTACAAATTCCTGGTAAATTGGTCATGATGGGCTAACTGACCTGACCTCATTCATCTTATCACCCTCTACTGGTACCTGCCAGCGTAATCCGTAACTGTAAGGTATTCGAGTATTGTCAATTTAAAAAAATGGTGACAGCGCTTGATTGTTTTTGTATAAACATTTTACCTTCGGCATGACACCGCATTCGTGCTTGGTGCCAGGTTGTTGGTACATAATGCAGTTTCAGCCAACCATTCACTTCCTGGCTGTAGCTATAGTCATACCGATACTGTCTGCCAGCTGTTGAGAAAAACGAAGAATTTACTTAACACTTAATAAGTTTACAATTTGGCAACAGATGACGCAGCTTCTGGTTATTCGTCAGCTGTAATGGCAATGGGGCAGTCACATCACGATATCTAGAGGTGCCCAAATTCGTATCCGTCAGGCGGGAGTTAAAGTCCTTCCTTGATTTGGAGTGCCATCTGCCCCACACCCTATCGTCCAGTGAAACCTTAAAAGCCAGCTGCTTCCAACAGCATTAGAGTATTCCGAAAAAAAAACCACTATATCGAGTTATCGCAGTCGAGAATCTGATAATAAACAGTCTTGCGATTTCTTACAGATGAACGCAGTGTTAAGCAACCTTAAACGAGTTTAGAGACGATCTATTATTTTATAGTTGATATAGAAAACAATCTGACCACCTGACGGTAAGCAGTAACCGTCACTTATATACATGAACAGCACTATGGTAATCACGGTAATATGCGAGATTCGTGATACCACTCGTATCGGATCTAGATGTTCCTACATAGGAATATAATATACATACTTCCATATACCATACATACATTAAAGGTTGCCTGTAAGAGCTTGCTTAGCGATAAGGCCGCCTTTTGTACTCGTCATTGTTATACATATTTTTATAGTAATTAATATTTTCTGTAACTGGTGCAAAAAAGTGTAAAAAAAAATACTTCCAAAAAATATATATCTATGTTTTTATAGCAGTTGTCAAGTTTCCATAATATAAGCTCTTGGCTTTATGAATTAACTTAAAAATATTATTTTGGTTATAATTATAAAATAGAGACTTACCCACTGTAATATCACAGAATAACGCCAAAATACCCAGCACAGAGAAATAATTAATCATAGCTAATTCGTATATTATAAACATACAAATAGTAACTCTTTGCTTTGAAAAACATTGAATTTAATTAAATCACATGTATTTATATAATTCATTATCAATTTCTATATTTAATCAATCCAATTTTATTTATATATATAGATATATAAATAAAATTGGAGTGTCTGTTTGTAATATTTAAATAACCGTTTTTTACTACATGCATATGAATATAAATATGGTACATATACCAAAATAACATTTTTTACTATTTTTGTCTGTCACTCCTATTGTGTGTTTGTTCCGGCTAATCTCTGAAATGGCTGTACCGATTTTGATGGGACTTTTCTTGGCAGGTAGCTGATGTAATAATGAGTGACTTAGGCAACTTTTATTTTAGAAAAAATCTTTTATTTTAGATAAATAATGCTAAATTCAACGCGCACGAAGTCACCGTTACAGCTAGTCAATATTTTAGAACGTATCCTGTTTTTAATTAATTTCTGCATTATTTTCCTTCTGCCTTTTTAATTATATGCAAAATTTTATGTAACATATATGTATAAGAAAGATAAATAATAGGAATAAATTATTTATATATAGTTTTAAATTTGACGCGTTCATTATTTATATATATAACTAGCTGTCCAGGCAAACGTTGTTTTGCCTTAAAATAAAAAAAAAAATATTTAGGGTTGGCTACCCCTAACATTTAGGGGGATGAAAAATAGATGAAGGCCGATTCTCAGACCTACTTCATGAGAATCGGTCAAGCCGTTTCGGAGGAGTATGGGAACGAAAACTGTGACACGAGAATTTTATATAAGATTAGGAACAACTCTTCTTCATGCGATACTGGACTACGCTGACATCTGTTGCCCTAATATTACAGAAGTACAACTTAATAAAATTGAGCGACAAAAAAAAATTTGATCAGATTTATTTTCTGTCTCCGAAAATGTCAGTGCAACTTGAGTTTAGTGCGAACCTCGGAAATGTACTGAACATTTCCGAGTTTTGCACTAAACTCAAGTGTACTGAACATTTCCGAGTTTCGCACTAAACTCAAGTGGCTTCTCATTCGCTTTCGTTGGAATACCTTCTAACTCTTCTTCAGCATTCTCTATAACCCTTCAACTCCTCACTACTTGAAGGAGCGGTTTACCTTCCTCCATACCATAGCGTTGATCTTAGATCGTCAGAGAGTCTCCAGTTAAAGACACCAAGACATAGCACTACATTTCACGGACAAATCGTTTAGTGTGCCAGCTGTTCGTCTTTGGAACGAACTGTCCACATCTGTTCGAAGACTAAAATCACTGCAGAGCTTCAAATTAGGTATCAATAACCACTATTTACGTAAGTTATCGTAATAATAGTATTACGGTCGTATGTATGTGTGAGTATATCGTAAAAGCAATCATCAGTTTCTTAAAACGTTTTTCAATAGAAAAAGTTGAGTAAGAAAGAAAGATTCAGAACTTCTAATTCTATGCATCCATAATTTTTTATCATGATTTAATCACGATAGTTTCCAGAGATAACTGCCAATAGGACGTTCTGAATATTGCTAGCATTGAGTCGATTACTAACAATTACTAACAATTATTAACTAAATACTAACCTTGAATATAGTCTTCATAGCATCAGCATTAGGCGCCGAAATATAAAACATTGCGAAGTGTCTTACGAATCGTGCAGTCAGCGTATTACGACCACTGCCGGGTGGTGCACAGGCACACGACAGTACCACATCTAAGATTTCCTTCCAGTACAGGTTATCACACATCCATATATATGTATGTATATGTAAGTTTATTATATTATTATGTTATATGTATATTTATAACGTTTCTTCTAATATTGTTACTATTATTACACCTCTACCAGACGCAAATCTAATCACTTCGCTTCATCCTAAGATTACTATCTGGAAGAGATCGCTTTTTAGCTATAAGGCCGCCCATTGTTGCCTCTTTGTTTATTGTTGTTGTTTTTTTATCATTTCATACATTGTGTATGTAATTGTATTTTCTATGAGAGGAACAATAAAGAGTTTCATTCATTCATTCATTCATTCATACCACGTTTTATTTATGTTTATTGAGTTGCAGATATTTCGGCATTGTTTCAACTGCCATGATCACGGGTGAACTGAAGAGCAGCGGTTGGATGGTAAATAAAACGTTTTATGGACATATTGACGACCTCGCTGGTGGTGGTGCTAGACCGTTATGGTCGCGGGTTCAATTCCTCGCACGGTGCAAACATTTGTATTAATGAGTATGATTATATCAGTCTGGGTATTTTCTATGTATAATATGTATGTATTTAGGAAAATAAAATATTTGTATCAGTTATCTAGTACTCGTAACACAAGCTTCAGCTAGCTTAACTTGGGTCTAGATGGCATGGTGTGAATTGTCCTGAGATTATAATAATTATTAATACATTCATCTACCTCCTACCAGATTTGGCTGACCAGGGAGAGAAACACGACCGGTTAAGGTGAGTGTTGACGTCGGCAAGGGACCTCTTAAACCTACACCCGGGTCACAAGTCCCGGGAACTGCTCGAAGTTTCCCTGTCTGTAACACGATTGATCCTGCACCCGCACGGTGAATATAGGGAATGTTAAGAAGTTCATCTAAATCAGTCATTCCCATAGTGGTCTATATCGACCCCCTGGGGTCCATAATACAGTTTATTATATATATATAAGGGGTCTACAACAGCAGTCACCTTGTTGTTTTTACTTTATGTTTTAACACTAAACTTTACTACAGTTAGAAATTTACAAAAAATCAATACCAGGGGGTCATGGATGGGGGTCAAGCCAAAAACGAAAAATATGGCAAGGGGTCTACGACACAAAAAAATTTGGGAACCTCTGGTCTAAATGGTTACGTAATACATGAAACTATGTTCCGGTTTCATAGGTGTTTTTTTATTGGGGGTTTTGGGGTATTCTCAGGTGCTAAAACCTGTAGCACTGCGACCTGCATAGATCTATAGTGCTCGCCCTTTTTAAAAGCTCGCTACCTAGACTCATCAAATACAAGAATTGAAAGATGTTCTTAGGAGCGATAGCTTTTATCTCCTCGGGATAGATTTTTTTTTTGAAAGTATACAGTACTTTCAAAAAAAAACTAAATTAGCTTTACAGTCTCCCAATATGCCCACTTAGGAAGATTGTATACATCATCATCATCATCATCACAGCCCGGAAGACGTCCACAGCCAGACATAGGCCTCCCCCAAAGATCTCCACGACGATCGGTTCTGCGCTGCTCGCATCCGATGCCTGCCAGCGAAGGAGCAATAGTTTTTATCTCCTCCCAAAGGAGATATTTCGTTTGTCCGTCAGTGGACAGCCACATAGGAGGTGCAGTGGCGTATTCCCTTCAACTTGTCAAAATCGGCAGATTGTTGCGCCAAGGTCTAATTTCACCATGTGTTTTGTCGCTCGTCAAGATGCTTAAATTGTTTCTACTCAATAGCAGTAGTTTATTGGAGTATTAATTCGCGTTTGTACGGCCTTCGTGCTGGATAGAAAAATATCTGCACACATTGTAGGTAATAAAAACAATAAAACTTCAAAATTATATAATTATTATTTATTTAAATAAGCTATAAGCATTTATCTCCACAATTGTGGTATTGTTACTCACTTTTAAGGAAAAGGTAATTTGCCGGCGGCTATTTGTAAATATATACTATTTATTGAAAACATATTAATTAATATTAATATGTTTTCAATAAATGCATTCTACGAAGAGTTGTTTTTTTCCTGTATAAGCACATGAGAACGTGCAGGTAAATAACACGTTCAGACCTCTCTCCTTACTATGAAAATTTTCTGCAGTCACATACATAGGAAAATGCAGCTATTAGTTGCTTTACGGTTTACTAATAAATTTTTTCTTATAGAATTAAATATAACTGAAAAACTCAATTTAAAAAAAAAGGACTTATTTTTAGCCCAATCTTATAAATAATAGTTTAGTTTAGTTTAGTTTCATTTATTGACCAATGTAAAAAACATCTTTACATATATGGCAAGTCGTAATATACAATAATGATATTTATAAAATTTAAATTCGATTACAATTATATTATTAAATAAAATAAAATAAATTAATTACGTACACAATACACGG